ATATCTGAATTTCTGAGAGCTCATTTGACGAATTCAAGCAAAAACAAAGTGAAAAAGTATAACCAGTGTTCTAGGGGAACATACCTTCCAAATCCTTTCCACTGGCAGCAGCAGCTATCAAGTTAGCTTTTATCTGCTTGCGCAATCTATTTCTCCTATCGACTATATCCGAATCATGACTACCAGTGAACAACGATACATATTTCTCAGTCTTGGGAAAAAACTGTTCATAGAAGGAATACACGTCAGCAGCATATAACATTTTTGTGTGAATTATCTTATTCAAGCAAAAGCAAAGCTAAATACTGTAACCAAGCTAAACCAACTTCCTCAGCTCATGGAACACTAGCCATAGGTGTCAGATAGGCACAGCAACAAAGGAGAAGCTTGGCATGACCAACCACAATACTGAATATAATGAGGTTTTGCAAAGAAATCTCATAATTATGGAGCTAGTTTTATTCTAAGATCATAATTTCAAATGCATATTGTGTTCATTTACAAATGCAAGAAGTATAAGAGCAAAAGATAATTGGATTAATTGAGTAACAACTTACCCTAACATATTCAAGATCTTCTTTCAATTTAGATAGCTGCTCTGCAGTCTGCACATCTTGGGCCTGACCAGATGAGGTGCGCTGCAGCTTCTCAAGTCGTCTTATTCTTCTTTCAATTTTTCTTCTCTCTAAACAAGGCAAGAATTACTTTCAATCAGATATGATCAATGCAATTTAAGCTTTGTAACATGCAAGAAATAACACAAGCTAATCAATAAAGAGCAGTAAACAAATGAATTAAGACTAGATAAGTGTTTTTTCTACCAAAAAACTTTATCTTTCTGTCTCGAAGGAATATTTTGCGCTCCACAGCCAGACGGGTATGAATCTCTTGTTGTTTCTTAAGTCCTTCTAATTTCTTTTCCTGTGCCTCTCTAACTTCTGGAGATAGATCCTGGACAAGACAGTCGCAATTTAGATTTTTTTTTTCCTGAAAATGGAATGAGAAAGCAGGGCTAATTACATAACCTGCTTCCACTAAATGATTGAAAAAACTGATCAAGATTAAGTCTTATAATTAATTTCTTAAGGGAAAAAGCTAGGAACAATTTAACTAAGCAAATAGCAAACTCTATCCATGAAAAGAAGCGGAAACAATTATCTTTTAGACTTGAATGTTAGAGGAGATTATGTGAAGCAGCTGATTGGCCAAGTGACATCCGACTAAATATGGTAGCTCAATCAGAATAATAATTTCAGTTTCTTATACATTATCCATATTTCATGATCATCTTACTCTTTTTCAGAGAGGAAAGAAATATTGGGAAGGATTTTACGGTTTTTCTCTCACCAAATATCCAAAAAAAGAAGAAAAACATGACTTTCACTTTCATGCTACAGAAGCCGCATACGAAGACGGTAAACAATCGAAAGGTAGAAACACCAGCTTAGTATAGACGCATAATCAGAAAGGCAAATAACTAAACAGCGCGAGCCTTAAGAGCTGAGGATAGCCAAAAGGTTGGTTGAAGTTGACGATAGCAGAACCCAAGAGACAGAAGAGAAACGAAAATTGATCGAAGAGAAGAAGAGAGGGGTTACCTTCCGCAGCATGCGTTCAATGGAGCGAATCTGGTTCTTGAGGGAGACAGCCTTGGGCTTCTTCTCCACACTGAGATCCTTGGATCGGCGACCCGTGTGCTTGCGCTCCGCGATCCTGCGCTTGCCATAGCCACCATGGGCCATGGTGGTTGCTCAATTTCCACTTTCACTACTGTTACCGCAATATAAACACAAAGAGAGTAAGATTTAGGGGTTTTCCCTTTCCAGTTTCATATATACATCGATGTATATTTCGTGAGTTGAGAAGAAAACACGCTCCTAATATCACGTCTCGTTTCTTGTCCTTACAGCGGGGCGGCTACCCACCTCCTTCCTCTGAATCTCTGAGCCAATTGGACTGCTGTTGGGCTTGGCGGAGAACTTAAGCTTTTTAAGTTGGGTAGTTGGGCTTTTCTCAGTTTGTCCCTTTGTTCGTCTTCCATATAAATTTATATATATTAATATATTTTTTTTGGTTAATTTTGATATTTAGAATATACTTTATTGAGTTTCTGTTATTATATTCGGTCTTTAATTATCAAACTCGAAATTAAAAATTAAATTTCAACTGTCAAACACCAATAAACAGTTTCCTTCTTATATATATATATATATATTGAGATTAATATAAAAATCAAAATTAAAAATTATTATGAAATAAATATATCTTAATATTGTGTATCTGCATAAATAGTTAATTACCATTTTATTTATATAAATATAGCTATAGTATACTAATTCTAACATTTTATTTTGTGAACAATCATGTTATGAATTATAGTAACTGCAAGTAATGATCCAAGGGACATAAGGTGATGTTTGAGATTACCAAAAGAAATATATTTAAAGTAGTATGGTGCTTAAAGTTATTTAAAAGAAGTACATTTTGTTTAAAAATAAGCAATTATATGACGGATTTTAAAAATAAATAATATTTTTTTTTAACTAAAATAATAAAAATATATATTTAATTATTCATATTATTTTAGGTATATATTGTTAATTCTAAAAAAATATGAAAAAAATAATTAAATATCTCAGTTAGATGGAAAAAGAAATAAGAACTTGAAATAGTTACAGGAGTGCGTACAAGGAACCTGAAAGAGTTTCCAAATCTAGTGACAAGGGAAATTGTGTTAAATAAAATCTCAATCTCTTTTATATCTACTACCTTTTATAATCAGCCTAGCATTAAGCTACCCAAACAGTTCAATGTGGTCTAGGGTTCCTTCCAAGGTATGCTCAATTGTTTTATAAAGTGATGATAATAATAAAATTCCAAATCTGATTGAAATTACTTTTTTGTTTTTTCATTACTTTCTTTGTAAAATATTTTGTGTTAGGAGAAGCCATAGCTTCTTGGAGAGAAATTAGACTTTAATTAATGTAAACATAAACATCATGGCAAAACTCTTTTCTAACCCTAACTATTTTATTCTTTATCGGACCAAATTCTGAAATGATTTGGTTATGTAAAGAGGACATAGAAGAGTTAGGAATATTCATGTTCATACTTTAGTATAAACCAAAAGAAGGCTAAGATGATTATATTGGACCAAATAATTCATATAATCAAACTTTTTTATAATCGAAAAGATTGATTTAGGAAATAAATGCTATGAATCATAATATTATAAAAATTATAAATACAGAAAATCATCACTAAACAATTTTAGTTATGTTTGTATGATTTACTTTATTTTGAATTACTACAAACTAAATAAATTAAAATTGAATGAATGATTGAGAATAGATTGTATCCAATTAGAATTTTAGACATTTTAGTTCTAAGGGCAACATAACCACACAGTCCTGAAGGAAATTTCATTGGATTAATCAGTTTTGCTTTTACATCTTTTCATCAGTTTGTGGCTTTTCATGGCAAATTTTATGTGGTACTTTTCAGCTTTAGTTCTTAAAAAATAAAAAAAGAAAGACAATGGAAAGAAAAAAAAAATCAAGAAAACAAGGAGCATGAACAAATGAAGAATGTGTTACACAATTAGGCAACAATGGCTTGGTCGCCTTCAATCTCAGATATAACGATTAATGAATCTGTTAATTTAAGGGAGAGGGGTACTGATTTTGGAATTGGATTGATAACCTGCAGCATAATAAGGATTTACTTTAGATTCTAAGGCAGATTTATTTAAAACTGTATGTAAAGGAAAAAAGGAAAGACCTTCTTGTTGCCTTTCACGTAGCCTATAGCAACTTCTTGCCGCAAATGTGCCCTCTCAGCAAGCTCAGAGAATGATGGATTCTCCCCTTCTTTCATATAGAGGCTAATGTCCTGAGATAACAAAGTGGCAATTATGTGCAGTTGGACGGATCCAGGAAGCTAAAAATACTTTCTTGTATTCAACCTTTTTTTAACAGGGTTGGTAGTAAGATTAAAGCTTGAGTCATCAACTCCACTAAAGGAGTATTATGTCATTTGAGCTACAAGCTCTTGGTTTCTTGTCTTTCAACATTAAACTCTTCCAGGCTTGCACTCATTCGTTTCCAAATAAAAATTTGGGCAAATAAAGATATCGTAACTAAATAGTCACATGCTTTCTTTCCTTCTTCATGCCATATTAGTTGAAAACATATAGCTCATGGGAAAAACAATTTGTTGCTTTTCTGCAAACAATACATGCTAGACCTTGTTTTCCACAATAGCATGAGTAATCTAACAAATGTAATGTGCTCAAAACTTACTTAAGCACCATCTGATTGTTTGAAAGAACACTTCAGAAACAATTGCCAGGTATTAGGAAAGGCATTTACCTTCACATATATCTCATCACCTTCTGCATTCAGAATATCCTTCCACACCTCGTTCAACTCACTGTTTTCTGCCACTGTTATGAACAAGAGCTAATAATTCTTTTAGATTACAGACATCGAATTATACAACTACTGTGATGGCAAGTAGAATGACTAACAGACCTTGAGCTGTTACAAGGCTCATGACTTCCTCCGCCGCAATATAAGTTAGTGAGGGGTTAATTCTTGTAATCTGTGACAGTTGCCGTAATTTCAGGGAGTTATTTTAGTGAAATACATGCTTAAAATATCATGGATGTTTGTATAAGAAAGTCAAGAATATCTGTTGAGGAAGCATTACTTGTTTTCCCAATTTAGAATCAACAATCTCTGCAACTAAATTTTGTACCTGAGAAACACCAATCCATCTCTTGACTATACTATATATATAAAATATATTAATATTCAGGACACAACTTTAACATGTCAGATGGAAATTTGAAAATGAGGATTAATTGAACCATATCCATCTTAATGGCCAAATAAAGAAGTATATACACCTTAACACCGAATTTCTTGCAGATGTTTTCAGCAAGGAGAAGAGAGTATGCAGATTGCTTGTCTGCCCTGGAAGAATCTATAAAGAGACAGTTGCAAGTCTAAGCTTTATAAGTATGTACAAGGCACTTTTGTACTTCCGTACTGGCTGACTCCACAGTCAATTGAAAGATCAACATATTTACCTCCAAAAAGCCATTCTCTGTCAGATATTACAACAACAGAAAATGGAATATCTTTGCCTTTCTTAAAAGAACTTTGGATATTGAGTATGGTCTCTTTTAATGTATCATAGTTCATGGGGTTTCCTACCTGCAGAACATGGAAAGAACTTAAACATTAGAAGGATGGAAGACATTTTCTCTATGCTTTAGAAAGAAAGAATGGTAAAGAAAATAAAGAGAAGTGGAGGCTTTTATCTGGTTGGTTCAACTGATTGTTACCCTGTGAGATACTCGGATATTTTTCAGTTTGTTCACACCAGCTCTGTCATTTTCCTTTTTCCTGTCTTTTAGTGGTACATCTGATAATATTTCCTGAAAACAGGTGACATGCTGAAAATTATTAGTTCTGGATCCACACTTCTATATGCTAGAAATTTAATGAGTGGAATATCAATGTTAAATTTCATCAAGTTTAGACAATAGACAATGATGACAGATTGTCAGTAGTCCCCAGAATTAACATCCTAACAGATATAAAACAAGTCCACTACTAGCCAGCTTCCAAATTGATGTCAATATGCACCTTAAAGAAAAACCAGGATTTTGTCTCAAGTTTTCCAGTTCATTGACATCTGCAAGAAGTATAGAAAGCACCAGTCCAAGATGCATGTTCAGTAAAGAAGGCCATTAAAGTCTTAGCTTAGATAGATCTATCCACAATGATTAAAAAAAAACGATTCTCAGTCAATGTTTGGCAGTAGGGTACAGAATGCTTATATTACTTGTCTCACAACAAACTCGTAATGTTAATCCTAAAATTTAAAGATGCATCAGAGGTTAACTAATTGTCTCTCCCCTGACTAAACAGCATTACTTCTTAATGTAATATGCAAGATTCATTCAACTTACATCTGACTATCAACTTGACTTCTTAATCGAAGATTTTATGGTCAATGAGGGCTCAAGTGAACAAAGATGCACCAAAACCAATAAAAACTTAAAGTAAGAACTGAAACAGGAAACACTAAGAGGAAATAAAGAATGAGCATACCAATAAACTGCCAGGACCAAGATAATTATCATACTCTTCAACCATCTGCACAATGTCCTGGCGCCACCCAAGTAAAAGTATGCATTCTGTAGGTCCTTGATTCCAGTCTGATGCCTATATTCACAAGCAAAGCATATCAAGACTGACTTCTAAGAATACCAAAAACACCACCTTTAAGCAATAACATCTTGGGAAAATAATACCTTTGATCTTTTTTTGCTGGGACGTCTTACAATATTTCCAAGTCGCTTTTTCTCCAGTTCCAAGGCACAATTTGAATTATCATCACCATTTTCCAATACTTGCCAACTTTTGCTGCCTTTGACAACATCTGAACATGCAAGCTCTTTCCTTCTCCTATGGACAGGTGAGATGAACAATACCTATAGGTGAAAGTGAAACAGACATCCTATGGTATCATAAATAAGATTACAAAAAAAAGCGTATTATGGACTTGATTATTTTAATGAAGCCGAATATTTCAAACCATATCTTAAAAGGGAATTATACCATTCTCCTGGAGAAAAAGATTCATTTAATATTGAAATGATGACCAATTATTACCAAATCAGGTGACAAACTGCCCTAATTTTCATGCAGGTATTGTACTGTAAAAAAATTTATTCCCTGAAAACTAGCCAGCAGAAAAGTTCATGATTGTTCACCGTACAGCTTTGCACATCTATTACTGCTCTAGACTGCAGATTGTAAACCATTATGGAGCACAAATTGAACTGCAGACCTAATATACAATCACTCCTGTAATGTTTATGAATGTGACTAGGGAAAAAAGATATTTTATATGATACTTCAGTCCTATATTAAAAAGTTATGTGATTGTTGTGCTTCATATAAAAGTTCAGATCACACACTATTAATAACTTAATATTAAATTTTTGAGAGCCAGTAGTTTAGGTATGAAAGATTATTGGGCCAGTGGTACTTAGGCATGCACGTTGCACGTGGTATTAGAGCACGTACAATCTTAGACCTTTGAACATTTTGTTGTTATTTGTGATTGTGTGATCTGTGGTATTGATGAGAACATCAAGAAAGTGAAGATTGTGATACCCGAGTCCCATATTAAGAAGTTATAGGATTATTGAGCTCCATATAAGAAATCAAGTACTTCACTCCCAATAACTTGAGTTTAAATTTTTAAGAGCTAATGGTTTGAGTCTGGAGGTTATTGAGCCACTGGTGCTTAGGCCCGGAGCATTACTTTCTACTTATGAGAATCCTCAATGAACAATTTGTTTCGATAGTTTAGGCCATGCTGGACATTGAAGGAAGCCTTTGTTCTAGCCATAGCTTAGAAAATTGTTGAATTTGAAGGAATAATTGTCCCCCTTAGAGACTTATTCACAGAAACTTTATCTCTGCATCAGATAAAAAGTTCACACCATACAACAAGCAAGAATTCATGACAAAATTTTTTATCAGTCACAAATTTAAGATATGGTTCTGATTTCTGCATGGAGTAAACAGGAAGATAAAATAGAAGTTTGGAGATCTTAATGCCTGCATACTTTGTCATTGTCCTGCAATATTTCATCATCATTCGGGTGAAAGTATATCTTCCCACTTCGATAAATACCACAAGCAACTGCCTGAAGAGGATATCATATTAGAAAAAAAAATTCAATTCAGTAAGCTGCACCATAATTTCTAAAAGTTTAGTAAAAATTCTATTTGGCAGATAGTATCACCTCCTGAAATCCACATCTCAGTTGCCTATATTTTATACCCACTAGATCAGGAAAACTGCAAAGATTAAATACATTTTCTGCAAGAAGCAAACTTGGCAGTCATTATTGTTTTAGTAAACATATTATATGATAGCAACATTATATTTTGACGGCATACTATACTTCGATAATTTAGCAAGTGCCTGTAGATCTTTATTAGCCCTTTTTGACGAGAACATTGGACAAACAATTTGGATGCAACGTTTTCTACAGGCTCAACTTTCAGTCCAGAGATTGACTTTAAGAGTTCACATGTATTGGAACTTGATACCTGCACTCAATTATTAAAAAACTAAAAAATTCAAGAGAAATATGCATGGTTAGTAGAGTCCCAAATTTTACCATAACTAATATACCTCTACAATAGTAGGCACTAATTCCATCTTCGGAATAGGTTGAAGGGCTAATACCGAGAGAAATGCATCAGTATCAACTTCGTACCTGATCACTTTAAGTTAAAGTCCATCAATTTTTTACTAAATCAAATGGTTTCTCTGTGCATTTACTAATCGAAATTACAATGAGCATAGAAAATCCTCAAACAAGTGCTTCATTTGGAATTTTTATAATTTCATTATAAATTGCAAGTAACCAAGCAATCTTTTTGTAGCAAGATTAACATTTTATCCAAGCCATATCCTTGATTTTGGAGACCCTTCAGACTGAGAAATAGATCTTTGCTAATTTTCACAGCATGCTTGTTCATACTGTTAGTTAGACTTTAATCTCTTCTATTTTGAAACAAAATGACACAAGGGGCAGATGGAAGACGAGATAATTCAGAACTGTTATGAATCAATGGTTTTGTCAGGAAGCAATTTTAAGGGCAAAGGAGGTTTGAACCACCAATGATGAACTTTATTCACAAGATATGGTTAAAAACTAATGTATCATTTTTTTTTCCTTTTGTAACCTTTAATTACCGAATCAGTAAACCAAATTCAAAATAAAAAGCTCAAGTATCAAGAATAAAATTGAGTTATCATCATTAAGCAATATTCATAATAACAATATTCGCTTTTAGATTAACTTCGTACAAGCTTAAAGTTTGAACATTCAAGGGAAACTTTGTAATGAGTAGACCCTCACTAACACCTGTGAATAGAGCATCCAGTTAAAATCTTTAAAACTAGGACCAAATATTTGCAAAGCCACATCCAGCATCTCACAGCACAGCCTGTTTGGTGCAGCTTTTGGCTGCAGCTTTTAACTTCCAAAAGCACTCTTGCAACCAAACAGGTAACATGTAAAGTATTTTTGACAATAGACAAAACTAAAATCTACTTTTGATAGATTTAAAACCAAAAGCTAGCATGTACAGCTTTTAGAAAATAACTTAAATTTACACTTCAACTTTCAAAACTCAATTTTATCAAACATAAAACTTCTGTTTTTTCAAAATGACAACATTTTCTATAACTATTTCTACTAAATACTAAATAACTTTTGACTGAAAACACTTTTAAACAAGAACTATTTTAACAGTATTTTTAAAACTCACAACACAATCTAGAACCCTACTTAAACGCCCACTAACTGTTATATCCTCATAACTTCATGATGATTTCAACAAATGAAAGTTGAATTGTTTTAGTAGAACAAAATAATAGCGACAAAAATATAATCTGTTTTAAGCTGATCAAGTTCTTACCGATCTCCCTTTGTTGGCAATATGATAATGGCACGTGCTTTATCAGCTGCAGCTCTTTCAAATGATTTTGTTAAGTTAAGGCTGCAACTGTAGAAATCCAAAAATAAAACAAAAATCAGAAATAAACTGAACCACTGTTTTTTCTACACTCCTGAATACGGCACTTCATTTTTTTTTGCAAAAAGAGGATTTTTGCTTCTTCCTCCTGCTTCTTCTTCTTCTTCTTTTTCTTATTATTATTACTATTATTATTATTATTACAGTAACAATAAAAACACATTATACAAACTCTTGAATGAAAATTAAATAACTAATGGAAAGTGACTTTTAAAATATATAATAACTATAATCAATTATATTTACGTAATGCTTTAGTCTTACATTATGTTTGAAACAAATGAGTTTCCACAAAATTTTGTGGAATCCATTTGCAGTTCTAAATTTTAAACATAAAATTATGTCAAGCTAAGAAATTTACTGAAAATCATATCCATGCGAATTAAGGGAGTTATCTCCAAATTCCATCAAATCCTATGGAGTTTAGAAATGAATTCCAGATTTTTAAGAAAATGACTAATAGAGAATCTCATTGCTCACTTTTGCCCTCATTCCTTCAGGTGCGAACATGCAACTGAAATAAATAAAATATCCTTTAGAAACAACGACAAAAAGAAAATTCAAATCCAACATATAGATTCTTCATTGCTCAAAAGATTGTTGAAATAAATAAGGTAAGATCTCCTTTTAGAACAACTAAAAGCGATTTTTCATCTTCTCAAAACAGTGTTTATTAAGGAGTGTATATATACATGTGTGCATATGAGAAAACATAAGAGAAGATATTTTTTATTTGCTGAAAAATAAATTCATGTGGTTCAAAAAGTTGAACTGAAATAAAGTTGAAATAATTGTAAGATTAATTAAGTATATTAATTAAGAATAAAAGGAGTATTTATGTAAAATGCAAATTAAATTCAAGATAAATTTATTTCAAACATAATAGTTCAACTGAATTTTATAAAATATAATTATTTAATCTGAATAAAATGTAAAATCTAAATATTTATCTTCTATCTAAATCTTTCTTTTGTATTTCATTTTCTTTTATTTATCAGTAAATAGATAAATCGAATAAAATTACTTGTTATTAGAAAATATAAAATCATAGAAACATATTTTACTTTTAATGTACTTTTTAGTATTAAATTTGTTTTGGTTGATGACATGGCATACTATGTGTTTATTTGTGTTCGCATGACATACTACACAGCAATAAAAATTGACAGTGTTAATTGAGTAGTTAAATGAAACTCTAACTGAATGCAATTAAAAATTTTAGTTACTTAATTGAATAGAATAAAATATTATATTCTTAACTGCACATTTATTTATTGTATGTTTAGCCAAAAGAAAAAAAAAAAGAAAAAAGAAAGGCAGGATCATGTTGCATGATTTTGGAAGTATGCTTGTAATCAAGAACCCCAAGAAACTTGAATTGCAGAAGAGTTTTCAGCAAACACCTTTGAATCTCAATTGTTTCTGAGTGTTTGCAACCTCAGGTGTATTCAGAAAGAAAGAAGATATTGAAGTTTTCTTAATCAAGACCAAATTACTTAACACTTTTACCTCTTTGTAAGGATATCAATGTGGTTGAGATCCTTGGCAATGTTATCTGCTGCTTTGTCCATCTGTTTCCTTGGAAGATCAGACATAAGGAGAATTCTTTGCCTCCTACATAACAATGCATATGGAAAGGAGACAAAAAATCAATATTTAAACACAACATAACTAAGAAACTGCTGGAAGTATAGGTACCAATTACCTAGCTGTAGCAGTACCTAAACGGACAGCGTACTCATGGTATTTATTAAGTTGCTTTAGTATGAAAGTCAGATGACTGTTTATTCCACAGATAACAATATGATCAGTCTCCAGAACTTGCATTTGTGCCCCTTCCCTGAGCCTTTGCATATTATTCTGTCCAAACAAAAATCTTAAAGATTTCATATGCATATGAACTAATTTTGTTGATAGCTTCTCTTTTAAGAACTTACCCTGAACTGTTCTGTCATTGTGCTCAATAGCCGAGAGTAAAACAAGATGCCCCAAATAGCTAGAACAAAACCTATAACCCGTTCCACACGTGTTCTTTGCTGCAGTGTGAAGACATAAATAATATTCAGTAAATGACAATATAAGCAACATTATGGTTAATTTTTAAAGGATGAAGAAAATAATCATGTTAAGAGATAAAACAGCACTTTTAGATGCGTTGATGAGGAACACAGGCATGCCCAGGCCTCCCACAAACAGTCTTCTAGAGATTGCGTGCTTCGCCTGCATTATAAAACAAAGCCAACAAGCAAACAAGCATTGGTTTTACATTAATTAGGAATTGCCTGTGAAGAAAATTAAAAGACTATTATAATAGCATGTTACTCAAGAAATCAAGACGTTGGTGTTGTCGTACAAATGGAAGGAAGGATATTCAAACCAAATGATAAAGCACGGAAACACTAACTCAGAAAAGAATTCAAACTAGTACATTTACTTCTCGGTTTTCCTGATCTTCTTGGTG